TTTTTTTTTTTTTTTTTTTTTTTTTTTTTTTTTTTTTTTAGGTATGGTCCTTCTCATGTTGCCCAGACTGGTCTCAAACTCCTGGGCTCAGGTGATTCCCCTGCCTCAGCCACCCAAAGCGCTGGCTACGCCCAGCCGAATGAGTTCTTTCATGAAGTCTAAGGTAATTTGAAAAAGTGAAGACGGCTGGGCACAGTGGCTCACTGCCTGTAATCCTAGCACTTTGGGAGGTGGAGGTGGGTGAGGTCAGGAGTTCAAGACCAGCCTGGCCATCATGGTGAAACTCCATTTTTATTAAAAAAAAAAAAAAAAAAAAAAAGAAAGAAAGAAAAAGTGAAGACTTTACCACACTGTTTACAGTCAAAGGGTTTTTCTCCGGTGTGAATCATTTCACGTATTTGAAGGGAGCTGTGCCATCCAAAGGCTGTCTACCACACCTTTTACATTCATACGGCTTTTCTACACTATGAGTGTTTTCATGTCTTCGAAAACAACTGGGATTATTGAAGGTTTCACCACATTTATTACATCCATAAGGTCTCTCTCCAGTGTGAGCTCGTTCATGTGCTTGAAGGGACGAGGGACATTTGAAGAATTTGTCACATTTTTGACATCCGTAGAGTTTTCCTCCACTATGAGCTTTTTCATGTCTGCGAAGGGAACTGGAACAACTGAGTTTCTTCCCGCATTCCTGACACTGGTGGGGTTTCTCCAGCGCGTGAGCTCTGATTTCATGTGTCCGAACGTAAGTTGCAGGATTGTTTACATTAGTAAGGTTTTTCTCCGATGAGAGTTCTAACATGAATTTGAAATAAACTGGGATAATTGAAAGGTTTTCCACAGTATTTACATTCGTAGCGTTTTTCTCCAGTGTGCATTTTCCCATGTTTTCGAAAGAAACTAGAAACAGTGAAGGCTCTCACGATTTCCCTACATTTATAGCGCCTCTTTCCAGTGTGAGCTCGTTGATGGATTTGAAATAAATTGGGAGAATGAAAGGCTTTCCCGCACACCCTGCATTCATAAGGTCTCTTTGAAGTTGGTGTTACTGTGCACCGTGGACCACTCTTGGGAGAAATGGAGGCTTTCCCACGTTGTTTCTGTTTACTGGGCTTCTCTCCCCATTCCCCACCACACTCACGTCGTTTCTGTCTGGCGTGAGCTCTCATGTGCCTGTACATAAATGAATGACAGAGGAAGACTTTCTCACACACGCTGCATTTGCATGGTTTCACTGCAGTATGACTTTTCTTGTTCAGGTGACAATCTGGAATCTGGCTGAAGGTTTCTCTGTGGTCACTCCCTTCTTTACGTCCAGAGAATCTCTCCACCAGACTTCCGCAGAGGCCAGGTTCCTCAAGGTTTCCAGCATCATATCTCTGTAGAGCTGCTTCCGGGAAGGACTCAGCAAAGCCCACTCCTCCTGGGTGAAGTTCACATCCACATCCTCAAAGGCCACTGAGTCCATTTCCGGCTTCCGGATATCCTGGGTCCTCGCTGGGGCTCCAGCAGCCAGAGTTGGTTCCACACAACAGAAGCTGCGGTACCCAAGAACCTGGGGCCTCTCGGGCCAACTAAAAACCAGATACTTAATTCTTAATAGAATAGCAACATTAACTGGTGATATAAAGTACATTGTTCAATATCGGTGAATCTTTAAGGAAAACATCACTGCCCTAAATAACTATAAAAGTACATTTTAATAACAAGAAAAAAGGGATAGGGTTACATAATAAATTGAATTTATTTCATTTTCTGTTTAAAAATAGTTATATAAATTTATCATGAATTGCCTCAATCTAGTGTTTGTTTATGAAATTAAATTTATGGTTGCATTAAATGTTGTTATAAGTGAAATTGGATCTAATTTCATTCAATTTTTGTTGTCTTTAAAAAACATTTTTGATGTAATCCAAATCCATCCTAACCAAATTGAAATAGTCCTCATTAACTTAAAAAAAATTATTCTCTGAAAGACTGATAGTGATAGCATGCATTCAGGGAGCTGAAGATAGGAAACAGAAAGACACACTTTGAATGATTGATAGTGAAGTGAACACCTCTTACTTAGGAGCTGCTGAATATTAAGAAAATTTTAGGAACTATGGGAATAAATAAAAACAAAAATTCTTTTGCAGAGCTGAGAGTAAGAATTGTTAAATGTTCGGATATGTTAAGAAGAGGTAAATGGTTTAAAAAACATGTTTGTTGGTTTTATTGCTATTTTGTTTTGTATTTTACAGGAAATCATATTTCTTACGATTTTATTGACTTAAGTTGTTGAGACAATCTCAAAAAGAAAATGAAAGACGAATAAATTGGTAAATAATATTTTTTGTAGGTTAATTCTAATCATTTTCTTTATTTGATAATATAGAAGAAAACTACAAACTAGTTATGCCACCATCTTAATTGTATTATGTGATTTTTACAAATTTTATTTTCAACAAATTTAAATGACTTATGAGTAGTAGAAAGTAAGTGACATAATTCTATAAGAAATCATTTCTTGGAACCAACTTCTACAAAAATATTATCAGAATAAGAAGAATTATTAAAGAATTGGCAACTAGTGTCCTTATGAGATTTGGCTGGAAATCAGAAAGGAATTCGATATTTTCAAGAATCTAGTATATGTAGATACTTTAGAAGTGATATTCTGTTTCTCAAAACAATCTTTAGGGAAAAAGAAAGCACCAAGACATTATAAGGCCATTGATCAAGGAAGTGGTAGACATACTTATGTCCGATTTCAAAGTGATTATTTTATGCTGCTACCCTAATGGATAAAACTCACTTATTTTTTAACTTAAAATATCTTGTTCATCCCTTTGTTACTGAGTTACTGCTAACCATGTGATAGCTGTGTAAGATGTGGATTATCAAAAGAGCCAATTTTTTTGACAAAGCACATGGAGCATAGACAGCCCTGAACCAAAATCTCATACTCTTAAAAGTTTTTTAGAAAATAATAAATGGAAGAAGATATTTAAGGACTTTTTTCCTTCAAATAGCTCCAATTCAATAATCTTATAGGATTTTGGGTGGAAGTAAAGGAAGGGAAAGTAGAAGGCTCAAACCCCCAAAGGAGCATTTATTTCAGTTTACAACATTTAGAGGAATTTAGGACTTAATTTCTTTTATTTATATAAGGTAGATTCAAAAGAAATACATTGATATGAATGTGCTCTGTTTACTTTAAAACACTGACAATACCATTAATAAATTCTTAAAGCATTCCAGTTCCTGATTATTCCAGTGTTTGTGCCAATTAACAAAGAATAATTTTTTAATGATTGATATTAGGGAAGTGGAAGGAGCCATGAGATGTATAATTTATTTGAGTGGGTAATTTCAGGATTAAGAAAGGAGACATAGTTGACAAGTCCTGCTTGGTGATATTCATGGGGAGAAGCCACAATCTTTAATTGTAAGAAACATTTCTCACCCCAGGCCTATTCTGATCTACCTACAAGACAGATTATTGTTCCTGTGCACAAACCCTATATTGAAAATCACTTTTCAATTAGACTTTCTTGCTTCTAGCCTATTTTAAAAGAGTTGTGCCTTAATCGATAGATAAGAGAATAAGAAGTGACAGAGTAAAACGTGCTAAGAAGCTATATTTATAGAAATTAAATTAAGTTTTTGTCTATTTAACTAGTGTTACATTTTATTAAAATGGCTGGAAAGATTTCACCAGAAAGGTAGGTTTGAAATGGTCTAATTTCAAATACAGGCTGTACAGTATATGTGAATTCATTCTGGAGAATTCTAAAGGTAATTAAACAAGATAGGCACACAGCAATGAGGCCTATATTGACCTGTTGGAAGGGTAGAAGATGCATGCTAAGAATTTTGGACAGAGAAAATAGGGCCTTCAAACAAAAGTCCAAAATCAAATGTCAAAATATGGATGCTTTCTGAATTACAGGCATTGTTTTGTAATCAAACTGTCAACTGGGCCACTAGCAGTAGCCTACTTTGGGCTGAAAGATACGAGGTATTTATCTGTTTATTTAATGATGATTAATGACTCTAATTAGCAAATCAGCAGATGCTTTTCAACATAATATTGCACTTTGTGTTCCTAAAGCTTAATTTTCTGGTCATATTATTTTAGGCTTATATAGTATTTTGAAAACGAATAGGGGAATAAAAGAAAATGTTATTTTAAAATAGCATTCCAGTTTCAACTAGCTAGAAGGTGGAGAAGGGGTGATGTCTTCACAAGAAAACACTGCTGTTTGATTAAAAAAAAGAATTAATTAGCATGTTTCAAAAGAAAGGCAATATCCATTCCTACTCCCCAACATCACTCAGAAAAAACAAATAGTTAAATAGCTCTGCATAATAAGGTAACAGGTATTTTGAGATTTACCCTGCTATATACCAGAAGCAGCAGAAGGAATGGGGAAATTAGGATTGAAGATCCTAGATGTAGAAGAGATTAAAGATGAAGAATGATTTGGGATAAGACAGGGGATTGGAGAGATACAAGTAATTATTCCTGTGCTGAGTGTTATCAAGAAAATTTAGCACAGTGTAGGCTTATTCAATCTTAAATGACTAGATTGTGCAATAATCTGCTTTCATTGTCACCTTTATTATGGTTTTCATGAAAAGGAAAAAAATGATACAAATGTATAATGTTGACAGAGTGCAGCAGCCTCACGTCTCTATTAAGTAGGGTGATTCTAGAGACAGAATTTAAACCCAGAAGTGAACAAAAGCACCCACAGGCATTCTTTGAAAGCTGAAGGAGAGAGTAGATTTCCCTTGTATGTGGGATGGGGCTTAAGCCTTTTAACTTGAATACTGAAGGTTAATGACTGGTGAGAATCATCTGGGTTATAGATACTATGAACTGATACAAATGTAGTAAAATGTGAAAATAACATGTTTTCAACCACCTTTGCACCTCCTGATACAAAATAATGTTTAGTCCAACACAAGAAATACTAAAATTATGTACTTGACATACTATATAAATATATATGAGATTAATTCTGATAGATTGACAAATCCACTTGTTTTTCAAATGTAATATACTAAATTAAAAAAAAAAACTATGGATGAAATCTTTGTCTTATCATTCCAAATCAATATATATCATGCTTTATCATGTATTTCAAACCAAATATAACTCTGTGTGCTAAAGTAAGGTTGGTTAATTTTAGTTCAACAGTCATGGAAGAAATATATTGGAAGAAGATTTAATAGTTAATAAATAAGATGCTTTTCAAGATTTCTAAAATTTCTATGTAAACATAAGCCTTGTAAACCAATGAATAGAGGACTTAGTTTTAACAAAATAGCAACAACAAAAAAACTGCCAAATGAATGTAAATAAAAGCTTTAAAAATGTGTAAATCTTTGTTGTGGGCCGAATTGTGTTTCCCAATATTTCTATGCTGAAATCTTGACCTCTAGTAGTACCTCAGAATGTGATTATATTTGGAGAAAGAGCCTTTAAATGGTAATTAAAGTAAAGTGAGAACATATGGATGGAACCTAATCCAATGTGACTGGTGCCCAGGACATACACACACACACACACACACACACACACACACACACACACACACACA